ATTTTGTCCCCCCCCCGAATAGGGGGTTTCCTCTACGGGGGGGGGGGGGCCCCCAGGAAATTTTTTTTTTCCCTTTTTTTTTCTTGGTGTTTTTCCAAGGCCCTTTTTTGGATACCTCCCCCAGGGGAAAAAGGCTTTCTTCGGGTTGGGGGGGTCCCTCTTCTTCCCCCTAATGGGGCGTGTTTTCGCTTTTGGGGGTGGCCAAGCTTAGGGGACCGCCCCCACAAGTTCCCGTTTTCCGGGGGGTTTCAAACCCCCCCCCCCCCCCCCCTCCCCGGCCTTGTTGCTGTTGCAATCTCCGCGTGTCATCATCTATTGACAGCCCATTCCTTGAGATGCCCTACCAAGCCAAGGAAGCGAACTGCCACGGCCGTACGCTACTGCTGTAGCCCCCAAAACGGGTGCCACGCAAGAACTGTAACCTACTACAGACAACACGGGTGCACGCTTCTTTCGGTTCAAACAACCGTAGCATTCACTTATACGGCGGCGAACGCACCGGCCTTCTTTGCGTTTTAACCCTGAAACGCACCTGTCCGTTTGCCCGGTCTGGTCGTGGCGTTGTCCTTCTTCGCGGGGAACAAACGGAAAGAAATTCAAGGAAGCGCTAGAATTGCTCTTCTCCCAAAATGCGTCGTGTCATCATTTTGGTGTCTTTCTGCGCCAAAATAACTTCCCTTATCGTCAACGGGCGTACGAACCGAAGCGTAGTCGAAACGTAACGATAACGACAACTGCAACGGCAACGAAGCGAAGCGAAACATAACGAAACACCACGAAACGAAACGCCACCAGGTGTTCCCGCTGGCCGTCCTCGACAACGCCGTAAGCCTGGGCGCCATCATTTTCGCGGTGCACCTCCCGAGCATGACACGTGAGACCACGGACGGGGCCAAGGAGTCCGACGTGACCGTGACCGGCTCAAACATCAGCAGGTGAGTGATGACAGATTCCCGGGCGGTGGTGTACTCATTGCGGCACATACCGTAGCGGTCAGACCACTGACCTCGCAGCCGGGGCGGAGCGGGCCGGGTTCTCGCCGAACCAGGCTCTCACATCATGAAAGCGCGAAGCGCCGTGAGGTATTCGGCGAGTCGCCGGGGGGTGTACTCATAGTCGTGCATGCCGTAGTCGTTAGACCATTGACCTCGCGTGTTCGGCATCTTGTGCTTACTTCCTTGCGTACGGATGGCAGCTGCGTATGACTTAATTTATTTTCTGGTGCTTTCACTTCCGGAGACAGTTATAAGCACTGCTGTGTAACTGCCTCGAGGATGCTATACCATTTTAACACAACGTGGTGCGATCATCCCCCTTGCGCGGAGTGAGGCTTCTCAACCCCGCACAACATGATCTACTCGACCACCATTATGGTCACCGCAAAAAAAAAAAACAGAGGTAAAAAAACAAAAACGGTAACCTGGTTGCCGAGTTCACGAACTGAATTGGCTTGTTTTACGACGTCGTTGCCAAGCGACGAAAACCCAATCCCGATGGCAAACACCGGGGGGGGGGGGGGGGGGTTGTTTTAAAACGTCTTTGCCAAACGAAAAAAACCCACCCCCCAAGGGAAACCCCGGGGGGGGGGGGGGGGG